AAACCCGTGATTAGTGCCCTCCCTCACTGATCTCTCAAATAATTAAACAAAAAATTGAATTCTAAATAAATAAAAAAAATGAATTATACACACTTAAATAAAATAAAATAAAAATAAACTTGGGTTGCCTCCCAAGTAGCGCCTTAGTTAACGTCATGGCACGACGTTATTCATTTTTTTTTGGTTTTGTTTTATGTGGGATCATGAGCATCCCTAGTTTCACTTTTCAAGGCCCTATTTGGCCATTTTTCATTTTTATTTTTCAGCCTTTTCCAGTAAGGCCGGGGTTTCTTTCTCGAAAGACATCTGATTTTATCCGCTTCTTTGAAAAACAGCGGTTCTTGTGGTTCAACAAAATGTAAAGAACACAGAGTTGGATTTTGCATTTGTTTTTCCGTAGAGTCCAAGATGTTGAACTCCACTTTTTGATCATCGAACTCTAAAGTTAGTGAACCACTAGAAACATCAATTTTCGTTTTTGCGGTCTTCATGAAGGGTCTACCCAAAAGGATGGGTGTTGTTTGGTCATCAGTTACCATTTCAAGGACATAGAAGTCAACAGGAAAGACCATATTTTCTACTTCTATTAGCACATCTTCTACTACACCCTTCGGGTAAGTACTAGAATGATCTGCCAATTGAATCACTACACCTGTTTGATGTAATGGGCCAAGTTGTAGAGTTTTATAAACAGAATAGGGGATGCCATTTATTGATGCCCCTAAATCCAACAAGGCCTTGGGAAATGTGGTGTTTCCTATTTTGCAAGGGATAGTGAACATGCCTGGGTCGTTACATTTTTCGGGGAGTTTCCTCTGAAAAATGGCCGAGACGTGTTCACTAACTCTAACCTCTTGTTTCCCTTTCAATTTATCTTCTTTTTGTTTTGCATAATTCTTTTAAGAATTTAGCAAAACGAGGGACATTTTTCATCAAGTTAAGAAGCGGAATGTTTACCTCACACTTTGCGAAGGTTTCATAGATGTCGGCATCTTTTTCTAGCTTCTTTGTCTCCTTCAGCGCCTCAGGAAACGTGATTTCTTGTTTATATGATGAGGGTGGGGGAAGCTTGGTTTCTGTGTTTTCCTCCTCCGGTGGGACTACTTTTCCAGGGTCCACACCCTCAGTCTCTTCATCGTTCTCTTTTGCCTCTTTCAACGTTGCACCACTTCTCAACGTTATAGCATTCACAAGTTGTCTCGGGTTTTGCTCCGTTTGAGATGGGAGTTTACCCGAGTCTTTTGTTTCAAGTCGGTTCACGGCATTTGCAATTTGACTGACTTGGTTTTCCAGATTCTGAATGCTGGATTTGGTCTCGTGCTGAAATTGAACCATGTTTTGTTGCATGGTTGAGACATTTGAGGTGAGTGCTCGGATCATGTCCTCGGTGGACATACTTGAGCTTGACGTCTGGCCTTGGTGCTTTGGGAAAGTTGGTGGAAAGGACTGATTTTGAGGATTCCCATACCTCAAATTCGGGTGATCTCTCCACCCAGGATTGTAGGAGTTAGAGTGTGGATCATACCTCTTTTGACCTTGAAATCCCAAAGCATTGACTTGCTCGGAATTCTCCTCTTGTAGTGTTGGGCAGGAATCGGTGGGGTGCCCTTGTGTCGAGCATATGCCGCAGACCTTGACTTCTTGGGGTTTTGGATTTAAAAGGAAATCCTTTACCAAAGAAGTCAAGCCGGCTACTTGACTTTCCAACGAGATGTTGGACTCCGCTGCCATGACCCGTTTTGATGATGACCTCCCATTGTAGTGCCTAGAATTCTCGGCCAACTCCGAGATGAGGTTCCTAGCTTGGGAAGGGGTTTTGTTGACAATTCCCCCTCCAGATGCTGCGTTCACCAGGCGTCTATCTTGCTCCGCAAGACCGTCATAGAAGTAGAGGATGAGGTCTTGCTCTGTGTAACCATGATATGGGCAGCTAGCACACAATTTTTTAAAACGCTCCCAATACTCATATAATGTCTCATCATCTTTTTGCTCGATGTTGCTTATTTGTTTTTTCAAAGATGATGAGACGGATGCAGGGTAGTACCTTTCTAGGAAGCACTTTTTCATTGATGCCCATGTATCTATACTCCCTGACGGGAGATAGAATAGCCAATCCTTCGCCGTGTCTTTGAGGGAGAATGGAAAAGCCCTCAATTTGATTTGTTCCTCGGTGACTCCATTGGGGCACATGCTTGTGCAGACAATATGGAATTCTGAGAGATGTTTGTTGGGGTCCTCGCCCCTTAGGCCATGAAAGGATGGCAGTAGATGTATGAGCCCAGATTTTAGCTCAAATGTATTACCTTCATCGAGTGTAGGGAAGATAATACATAATGGTTGTTGATTGAGATTTGGAGCAGTGAGCTCCCGTAGTGTTCTTGTCTCAAGAGCCATGGTCATTGACTCTTCGGTCTCGCTAGAATGAGAACTAGCGCTGGATGAATCTCTGATAGATGATTCCTCCGAGTCGGTATTAGAAAATTTACTTTTCAACCGCTCGAAAGTGTGTTCTATTTCTGGGTTTGTTTGGTATGTGATTTTGTTTATGGAGCGATGTTTAACCATAAACTCCACTAAGCTCAGAAATAGAAGAAATAAGAACTCTTTATATTTTTTTATTTAATATTTTTTTTTCTTGATATGAAATAAAAGAAAAATTAATTGCCTTTCCCCGGCAACGGCGCCAAATTTGGCGTGCACTCGTCGTTAGGTGCACTCAAAATAATTAATCAATACAACACTGATACGTAGTATAGTGTAGTAAGGTTCGTATCCACAGGGAAAGGAATACTTTTCTTTTATATAAATAATTACAAGGGGGGTTTAGATTTGTTTGGGTTAATAACACTAAGATAAACGACCTATAAGAGTTTAATTCAATGAGATGGGGACTTGGTTTTGCTTTTATCCACTTAATGAAATCTTCGTCGATCCCGGTTATATCTTTAACTATCTTCCTCTCGAATACTCAATCGAGGAGTATATCCAGTTCATCGAGGGTAGTTATTAATAACGAGATGCGTTCATTAATAAAACTTACTATCGAGTCAATATAGAACAAGCGCCATATATTAACTTGATAGTAGCAATAAACTTAAGATGAAAACGATTGAGATTGATAACCTCAACACAAGCGGTTTATTGGTTTAATCAATATAATTAATTCCCCTTGGCATATTAACCATGAGATGCATGCATTAATATTCCAAGTTTACTACCGTTGAAAGAACCGGATTAATAACAAGCGTATTAACCGATTGATTCTAGTAATAATTAATATGAGAAACAATACTAGTTGATACTTTAAGTAATGTTTAAGATATTAACATGAAATATGAATAGGAATTAATTAATACCCAAGGAAGAATATTAAAATATATGAATCCTACTATGATTAATATCAAAATGTTAACTAATTGTCATCTTAGTAACACTCCCCAATATTATCATAGAGGAAGAAATAGCTATTACTATAACCAATGTCAAGATGTTAACTAATTGTCATCTTAGTAACACTCCCCAACTTTGATATAGAGATAGTATTTTGAAAGAAAGAATTAATATTCAAGGAAGAAGATTAAAGAAAATAACTCACAACTTACAAATTCATTAAGCTTCAAAGTAGCAAAACCAAGATGGAAGAGTTTAGCTCCTCATTTGGAGACTAAACATGATGAAAAATATAAAGAAAGAGCTATTCTATACTGAGCTTAGATGTACAAGGGATTGAATATCTTTTTGTGAAGGAAAGGAGGTGTATTTATAGGCTTTTGGGAGCTAATTCGGGTACTCGATCGGGTATATACATGGTACCCGATCGAGTATGTGTGTAACACCCGATCCGAGGTATACTCGACCGGTTTCAGGGTATTTTCTAAGAGTATACCCGATCGAGTATATATGAATACCCGGTCGAGTATGCTTAGAAAATGGTATTCGAACCATACTCGACCGAAATTCTTTTGAAATTCAAAGGCATACCCGATCGGGTATGTCGGTCTACCCGATCGGGTATAGACATAAAATCGTGGCCGAAATCTTCCCTGCATGTTCCCTTGTCTTCGGATCTGATCCGATTTGAAGTTCCAACCTAATACCTGACCGAGTATAGCTAATACTCGACCGAGTATAGACCAAAATTCAGGATCTTCTTTTGTCTTTGAACTTTTGCACCTTCTTTTCACTTCTTGGGTTCACCAACTGTACTTTGAGTGACCAAAACCTGCTTAAGCTCAGAATATATCTAATCTAACCTATTTACAAGAATTTAACAATCTAATCTATTACACCAAAAGTGTGTAATTTCCAAAGTAAAAGTCAAGCAAAACTAATTAAAAACATAAACATAAATATGGAAATTACGAACGTATCAATTAGAAAGGACTGTCGTTGTACTTCTTTGCAACATGGAAAAAATTCTTCCGCCGGGATTCTTTGATGTGAGTGAGCATTTAATCATCCACTTACCTTATGAAGCAAGAGTATGCGGTCCTCCACAATATCGATGGATGTACATGTTTGAGAGGTATGCATTCCTACAAACTTATTTGAATAAAATCTTACCTATTATGAGATCCACATGTATTATATAAAATTCTTGTAGGTTCCTCGGCACTCTCAAGAAAAAAATCACAAATAAGGCCCACATTGAAGCATCAATTTGTAATGCATATATGTATGAAGAGCTATCAACATTTGCGTCCTATTACTTTGATTCCTCCATACGATCGAAACGCATGCGTCCTTCCCGAAATGATGTTGGTTCCTCATCGTCTAATGCGATGGCATTCTCAATTTTCAATCAACCAGGTCGTGGAAATGGAAAGTTTAGGAAACGGTTTGTTGTTGGTGAAGAATTAAAAGTTGCTTATACATATATCTTGCTTAACTGTCCTGAAGTTCGACCATATTACGAGTATGTTTTATTTTTTAATTAAATTAGTTAGTTGTAGTGATTATTTAGCACAAATCAACATTTGCAATTATATATGTTTATATAGGTTGTTCGCAAATTTTCTTCAATCACAGGATCATGCTAACATTGACCAGATTATTGCAAACGAGTTTTCCTCTTGGTTCACTGCATATGTAAGATGACACAATCACCATCTACAACTAATTGTTCCTTTATTATGCAATATTATCACCATCTACTTGCATTGTAGGTGATGAATCCTTACAATGGAGTTTCTGATTCGTTCATAAAAGCTTTGGCGAATGGAATATCCTCACGTGCAAAAGCATGGTGTGCATATGTAGTCGGTGGATATACTTTTCACACTACAAGTTACGGAATTGGAAAGAAAACATTCAATAGTGGGATATGTGTGCGCTCCTCCAACTATAACAACGCAACCACTGATTGGATTGGTACTTTGGAAGAGATAATCGAGGTTGACGTTCTTTGCCCGATAACTCTTAAAGTTGTGCTTTTCAAATGTAAATGGGTTGATTCGGTGCGGGGGATGCGAGTTCATCCGAAATATAATATTGTGGATGTGAAGCTGGACTGCATCTATTAGGTGTTTGAACCATTCATTTTAGCACAACAAGCTAGTCAAGTGTTCTTTTTAGAATACCCTGGTTCTCGAGGGTCACTTAGAGGATGGAAGTGTGCTTGTAAGGTCAAAGCAAGAAACACAATTGAAGGTGAGTGGAAAGATGTTGACATTTCTCCATATCAGGTGGATGAAACACAACCACCTCCTATTGTTGACATTATTGAAGAATCTATTGATTTGCACGATTCAGATATAGTAATCTCGGTCCCTGTAGAAGAGGTGATTGAAGCTGCGACAACGGCAGATGACGACGATTTACTAGTTGAATATGTAGAAGATTATGGTCAAGATGATAACGTTACCAGTGAATATCTTACTGATCAAGATGAAGGTGAAGAAGAACACGAGGATGAGGATGACAATGAAGAAAGTGATGATGAATAAAGACACTATTGATGAGTAACGTACAATATTTTGCAATGACAAGATATTGTTTTAAGCTTATAAATGCACTTTAATAAGTTTGCTAAATAAAATTATGACGATGAACGTATTTTATTTGGATTATTCGATATTTCAATCAAACCATCTAGAATATGCTAATATTTGTACTTTAATAAGTTTGCTAAATTATCATATAAAATAGTTAAAAGCAGAGTCACCAAACGGGCACTTATCTCTCCGTTACCAAATTGATTCTAAAAACCCCGGTAATACTCCATCCGTCCCAAATTGAATTGCAAATTTTGACTTGTTGAGTAAAATTGAGTCATTTTAATCACTTAATTAGAATATCAATTATTAATTAAATTTTAATTAATAATTGTTATTGTATAGAGATTTTAATGTCCTTTCTTAATATGTTAATTTTAAATATTTAAAATTGAATTAATTTGGATGATTAAACCTTAATATTAAACTTTAGTATTAATTGGTAACCGACGGATTACCGACGGATTACCGACAGATTACCGACGGATTACCGACGGAATGTGATTTAGCAGCGGATAACCGACGGTTTACCGACGGATTACCGACGGACTACCGACGGATTTTTCCGTCGCTAATTATCGCGACCAAAAACCTAACCCCCACACATTCGTTCTTCCTCATTCTACGACTTTGCCTCATCCCCATCTTCCTCGCTCCATACTTTCACTCTGCGATTTCATCTCGTTTCCAGGTAAGTAAGTAATTAATCTTTTTCCATTTATTTGATTTCATCCTGCGATTTCATCCCCCATCTTCCTCATCCCCTATCTTCCTCACCCCATCTTCCCCCATCTGGTTTATTCGATTTTGCTCTAGGGTTCAAGGTGTCCGCTAGTTGCTTCAACTAATTCTGGTAAAATCTTATATATGTAGTTCGAACGTTCATTATACAGAGGATATCATCAACATTGCTATCACTATGCATTTATTTAACCCGCAGATATTTATGAAAGCCAGTTGGTATACTTTTTTATTTTGTTCTATGCTATGAATTTTGATACTGTGAACGAAATTGAGTCCAATATATTTTATTTTCCAGTATATATGGCTGTGAACTATCTGCTTCTCAATATTGAATTATATATCTATGTATATTTCTGTATATTCATTTTAATGAATACGCCAGAATACATGAGATTGAATATGTTGAGGTTAATTTTATTTAGTTCAATATAATGTCGGCAAAGCGGTCAACTAATATGCCAAGAGACAAGGAATTAGGGAACTTTACTCAATTCCGTAGAGATGAGCCTACTGTTGAGGACACCTCAAGCGAAGAGGAGGATGACACAGAGGAGAATAACGACACACCCTCTCAAATACCCGAGGACTTTCAATCTCAACCAGAGTCTGAAGCGTCACGTTACTTCTCACAGGCAATGGAGGTAGACCGGATGCCACTTACATTGTTTGATATGCATGGGTAAGTAATTTAGTTAAACAATGCTTGACAATGAATGATATGTTTAAATGAAAGTATTTATTCAAATAGAAGTGTGTTATATTAATGTGAAAATGTTATCTAGGCGAGAAAAGCTTCAGTTCATACAAAATATTGTTGAAGGATCGTTTAGAGGCCCATGGATTAGTTACAATAAAGTTCCTAAGCATGTTAAGAAAGAGTGGTTTGATGAATTTGCGGTAACTTATTACTAAGTAAAAGTTTAAAATGCTTTTTTATTAAATATAGTGTAGTGATTATTTAATATGAAATGCAGCGGCGACACACTTATCGCCAATGTGAAGCAATTGCGATAAAGAAGAAGTTCAATAGTCGCATCTCTAAATGGTTGAAAGACTTGTTTTGTACTTGTCGAAAGAATAATGAGTGTCCACAATGGATATCTAAAGAGGATTGGGCATTAATGCTTGGTGAATGGCAATCTGAGGCTTTTAAGAAAAAGTGTGAAACAAATAAAAAGAATGCCAATTCGGAGGCTTGTAGAAGTTCGCCATATTGTGGAGGTTCAATATCTGCTCCGGTTAGAGCAACCCGGCTGGTTAGTTAATACCCACTTTGGTGTATCATTTTTGTGTGTATGATTTATAATTATTATTTATTTCAATAGTTGACTAACTTTTTTTTTTCAAGAAACAAAGTTTAGGGAGGGACCCTGATGCAGAAGAAGTTTTACACGATAGCTACACCTTGAAGAAAACTGGGCAACTTAGTGGCCAACGAGTCCATGATATAGCTGTAAGTATTGTGACTTCATATATTTATTTGGCAATATATTGTTAGAATAATATATCTGGCCCATAATAAAATAGTAAAACTATTTCAAACCAGTCTCACCTGCATCTTCGCAATGCTCTACTGTTGATTTCTTGATTTGCCATTTATTTGGCATTGTTATCTTTGTTTTTATGTATAAATAGGCACTATCTTTGTTTTAATGGTTGAATTTTTTAATATGAGCCTTATGTTATTTTAAATGATTAAATTATTTTAAATCGGTTGTAGTGATGATAAGAATTCAGCTTCAAATGTCAGTTATGCTTCTGAATACTAGTGATTGAAAAGGCTGTTTTTATCTGTCTGAGCGTAACCGTTATGATTTGTATATTTCACTCATTGATTATTAATTGGTTTTGAGTTTTAACTATACTCTTCCTTTGTTTTAATATTGTTTGTTAGAAACCAAATTTGTAAAATTGAAGTAAAAATGATGTGGGAAACACCTGCCATGATATGATTTTATTGGCATGCTATTAATTAATGCTAGTACTTTTTATTATTTAACTGATGTTTGTTTGGGACTAAGGTCACATATGCATACAAAATAGATGCTCTACTCCGTGAACTATCATCTTTTAGATCCACCAATAAATAACGTTAACCTTCTTTTGTTAGTATTAAGTTGCAGTATTATATTTCTCTTAGAAAAAAAGTGAGGTAAGAATTTGGTCACCTTGCATTTGAAATAAAAATTCATAATGAATTTTTTCATACATGTACGTACCTCAGAATCATGGAAAGTGTATCGGAAGGTGTTTGCGCCATCTTCCGTACCTAAGCCTAAGAGCCTTAGGGTCGGGTTCAAATTGTTAATTTGCAATTGATGTTGATAAACTATGTATAGTGGTCGGATCGAGGCAGCAATTGGAGAGAAAACTGCCACAATATCGTTGGTGTTTATTTTTTTTTCTCTACTTGGCTGATATATTAAATATATTAATTTACAAAAGTATGCCACATTAGTAGAACACATCGCTAGAAGTGTTATGGATTCTGCAGTTTTTTTTTATATTTCTAGCATTTGCATGATAATTACAATTTAGATCATATGTGCTGCAAGCGTAATCCAAGGCGGGAACAGTTATTATTGCCACAAGATTCCATTGTTATATATAGATTGCTAACATATATGGTAGGTTATATTTGATTGTGTACTTATTAATTAAGTTATTCTATACATTATAATTAGGAAAAACTTAAGGCTGAGGCAGCAGAAATCACACAGACACAAGGGCCAGGCACAATAGTTGATAAGAATGCATTGTTTTTGAAAGTTGTGCAACCGAACCGGGGAAGGCTCATGGGAGTGGGCTCTCTTGCCCCACATTTGTTGAGCACTGGGTCTTTGAACCCGACACATTGTCGCTCTTCTGAGCAAGACCGCATTGATAAACTCACGGAGCAGGTGGAGAGTTGTCAAGCAGAAATGAAGCTATTGCGGGAACAAATAAAAATGCAAGGGAGTAATACATGGACTTCATCTATGAACTCATTCACAGTGTTTGCATATGGTCAGCCTTCTCCTGGGAATGGACAACAAATGCCTTACATGTTTGTCCAACAACCACAAGCTACTTTTCCTCAACAAAGCCAATCTGCCTTTCCTACGCCTCCAATGTTTCCAAATTATTTCATGGTGGGTCAACCATCAATGCAACCTGCAGCTGTCCCATTTGTCCCTCTTCACAACACAAATAATACTCTCTCCCAAGAAGACAATAACACTTTTATCGATAATTTACTTGGTAGCGGAGGGTTTAATAACGAGGGTGAAGGACAACAATGAAGACTTGTAGTAATTGTTCACTATGTACAATTTCTTTTAATGTCCTTGACATTTTTTTTTGTTTTGGAATATTTATGTAGGATGTTGCACTTTTAAATTACTTGTTTTTGTTAAGCTCTAATGCATACCATTATGAGGTTTTTGGAATGAATACTTTTGTGAAATGGAAGTTCGCAGTATGACTTTGAATGATGTTGTGAATGGTATTATGCAAAACTTGTTTGTGAATGGTATTCTGTAAAGGGTGTTGTTTGTAAATGAGTCTGATTTGAAAACAATATGAGGATCAGAAGTGTTGCAAATTCAAAAGCAGCGACAGAAAAAGCCGTCGGCAACAATGAAACAATTTTAATATGGCCGGACTTTTTCCGACGGAAATATCCGTCGGTAATTTAATAATTATTTTTTTTAAATCACCGACGGAAATAACCGTTGGTAATTGAGAGGCACGTGTACACATTCAAAAACCCACGCATACCAAGTTGCGACCGTATTATCCGTCGCTATCACCGACGGATATTTCCGTCCCTAATCCGTAGGTACTTTTTGAAATCCGTCGCTTAGATCCGTCGTTGGGTTTACCAACCACGCTATTTCGGCGGAAAGTATCCGTTGGAAAGCCGTCGCTGAATTTTGTACCGACGGTTATTTGAACTTATACCGTGGCTATCTCCGTCGCTATTCTCTCTATTTTTTGTAGTGACTATGGTCAGGAGTCATAATTTTATTTTATTTGATTATTTACTTTTTAATTTTATAATTTTCCATTATTCAGTTTGCAATTTTCAATTTTTAATTTTTATTTTTTAAGTTTTTTATTTTTGATTTTTAAAATTTTTAATTTTTAATTTTAAATTTTTTAATTTTTAATTTTTTTAATCTTTAAATTTTTAAATTTTTAAATTTTTAAAATTTTCAAAACTTTTTGTTTTTTACTTGGCCTTTTATATTATAACGTTTGTTCATTCACGTAGGAGATGAATAGTTTGTGGTTATCAACATATTTCCTTTGAAATACCCCGATTTGGGGGTTTAGAATGAGAGGAACTAGAGAATTTTGAAAGCCTTCAACTTTCCTCCCCTTCCCCCCTATTTCCTTAAACCAAACACACACAAATCCCTCACTTTCCCCCCCTCTCCTCCGAAACCCTCTCACCAAACAGGGCCTAGAGAGATATAAAAACTTAAATTCAGAGATACTGACATGTTGGACTATTTTATATGAGGATATTCAATCATGAGTTATAAAGCTAAATTTATACTCTCTCCGTCCCTAAAAGGATTGTCAAGTTTGACTGGCACATAGAATAATAAAGTAAAAAGTGTGTGGTAGAGATTTGTGCAGAAGAGAGAGAAACAACATGAGCCACAAATTGATTGATTAAAAAAGAAAGTGACAAAGTTTTTGGGACAACAAAAAAAGGAAAGTTGGCAAAGTTATAATGGTCGGAGGGAGTATTGTTTAACGATGGAGTATATGATTTAATAAGTTAGAGTACTTATCTGCATGAAATATCAATAACTACGTCTAAGGTCTTGTTTGGTAAATGGTTGTTAGCTGTTGCTGGTAGCTGGTTGTGTCAGCTGTTGCGAAACAGCTGGTTGTGTTAGCTATTTTGACCGACTGGTTATGTTGGCTGATTATAAATAACTGTTTGGTAAAATTGACTCTTTCGAAATGGCTGATAGAGTGTAAATTGAACCAGCCAAATGAAGAAGCTGCTCCCCTTAGCTTCTTCCACAATCCATTTTTTCAGCTTTTCAAACTCAACAAGCTAATTTTAAAAGCTATTTACCAAACATTATTATTAGCTTCTTTGACTAATCAAACAGTTGAAATGGGTCAAACAAACTAAAAGCTGGCTGATAAGCCATTTGCCAAACATACCCTAAATAAATTAGATAAATTAGGTATTTTTATGCATTGTAGATAGTGATTTAATAGCAGAACTATAAGGTTGCGTATATCTTTGACTTAATTGCAAATATGACATTCATTCAATCAAATATAACGTTGCTACTTTCGGTCTATAGAGGCGGTTTGGTAAACTTAAATTAGCTAAATAAGTTAAATTGGCTTAAATTAATGAAATTCTAGGTGAAACGGTTCCTGAATATGCTTAATTATGTACAAATTGTATTGAAAATATATTTTATTAATAAATATTATATGAAAAAGTAGCTAAAATGGTATAAATATTATATGAAAAAGTAGCTAATTTTAGCTAAAAGTAGCTAAAATTCTCTACACTTCTTTCAGCCCGAAAAGTAAGCTCAAACTTACTTATTTGAATTAATACATATATGATAAGCACAATAATTACCTATATTTTATATAGGTAACTATGATTATCTGTACAAACATTCAAAGATAAAACAAGTAAAAATCCCAATTTGAGAAAAACCGCACTTAGGCATCAAAAAATGAAGGAATGAGAGTCAACGGGGAAAAGACACCAAGAACTGACACTTCGGGGTCAACAACGAACGTCAAACGGAGCGAAAAGTGGAGAAATGCAAAATTGACATACCCAGCGCCGGGTAGGCCTGAGGGCCGGCCCCGGCCCATCAATTTGCGCAACACAACTAGGCGAGGCAGTAGCTTACCCGGCGCCGGGTAGGCCTTAGGGCCGGCGCCGGGTACCCCAATTTTCCATATTCTGCTGCGCACAACAAAGAACCGGCGCCAGGTAGGCCCGAAGACTGGCGCCGGGTTGATCTGATTCTGCAAAAACAAATCAACGTGCAAGAGGATTCTTGATGGGAAAACTGCATCTTCCTCATTTCTTGATCAAATATTGCTCCACACTGGATTGTTGGGCTCGAATAGACTAAAAGATGTCATTCTTTAGCCTATATAAAGCCCTCAATTCATCAAACAAATTCATTCCATTCCATAGATTAATTCTTAGATTTTATATTTTTGTTCTTGGTATTTTCTTCAAGTTCTTGAGGAGGGAAGTTCATCCTCCGAAATCATTGGTGTTTAGGTATTATTTCCTTTGTAATTTCATGTTCCATTACATTTATTATTGTATTGTGATTAATATGAGCATTAGTAGCTAATTTTTTAGCTAAGGCGAGAGATGAACTTCTATGCCCACTAGGCGTTTGATAAAAGTTCTAAACCAATAAATTGTGATTTATCCTTTATATATTGATTGTTTATGACTATGGTGTACAACATAGAAGTATGTTAAATTTAGTTTATACTTGCAATTAACGTTGAAGTCTAAACTATGAACATTAAAGGATAAACATATATAGTACCGAGAATAGAAATATATCCGGTCTTATATGATACGGGTGTGATGTCTTGATATTCAACGGGGTTTTCAGTGGATGAATGTAAGCCGTAACGGGACTTACACGTAACGAAAACCACGCTCTCGCTGTCTTAACCGGAGTTGAGAATATATTAGCGACATCGTATTCATAATTATTGGCGAAGAACTAATATTCAACCCTATTAAAGCATTTAAGTGATTCCCGAAGTCTTAGTTGTTATTATCATTCATCTTAAACTTAAAATTAGTTAAACGATTATCTTCTTAAACAAAAAATGAAAAGTCAAAAATATCAAACACAAATCAAAATCCCTCCACTTTACTCATTTCTTCATTGAAAGTTATCTACTATCGGACTTGAATTAAACAACGTTTCCTTGTGAATTCGACCCGGTATTTTACTAGAATTTATTACTATATCGGCACTTGTACACTTGCAAGTTCAGCCCGATCAATAATTCATCGAGCAAAATCAAAAACTAAATGTTTGGTAAAAATTGAATAGAAGGGATAGTAAATTAAAAATAGAAGTTACCAAACACGCACTTAATTACTACGTATTTATTTGGCTGAAATTTGTTTTACGAAAAACCTATGATGTGTGCGAATAACTGAGAATAGATAAAATTATTGCTCATATTCCCAAACAGAAGTAGATAAAATTTATTCCCGAAATAAGACAACTATTCCAACTTTACCCTCCTACGTGCATCCTTCTCCTCGCCCAGACTACTCTTGTCTCCCCACATGCCACATCATCCATTCAACTTCTCTTCCCTTCTCCACGCATCATCCAATCTAATCCCTTAGTAGATTAGGATTTCTTTTCTAAATCTTAAATTCTTCTCCCCACACTAGCTTATTTTCTCCAATCTACTCATATTTTAGGTTGCAAGATGGTGAGTTTGCTTCTCAGGTCATCTTCTCTGATTGGAAACCTACAACAACAAGCTCTTCGGTTGTGGCGGCGGCTAGCATCGTCTAGCGGCGAGCATCGGTGAGCATCGAGGGAGTGGGTATCAATTGTGATCCGGATCGGTTGGTAGAGTAAAGTTGCTCATTCTTCTCCCTCCTCCTTCTTCGTCTTTTGTGGCTGTGCCTGTCTCTTGCCTCTTCTGTTTCGTCGTACAATTGCCAAAATTTTCTCTACATATGCCATCAAAATGACATTTTTATTCTTCAAAAATTTCATATTTTCCTTTGAAAATGTCATTAAGATGGCAATCTCGATTCAAGTTGGCATTCTGTTTAAAAAGTTGGCATCAGCGGCGCCGACGGCTAGATCTACAGAAGTGGTGGCCGGATCTGCAACGACGACAACCAGATCTGCAATGGTGGCGGTCGGATCTACATGGGCGGCAGTCAGTGGCCAAATTTAAGGCGGAAGTGGCCAAATCTGTAGCGGCGTCAGCCAAATCTGCATGGGGCGGTTAGGTTTGATGCAGCAGTGGCGGCAGGTGGATGCCGACGGCGGCAGGCGGTCTACAGGTCCGCAAGTATATTTTTGTCAAGGTTAAGGGATATTTGTGTCCAACAACAAATAATAACTCATATTTAGGAAATATTTAAACTTTAGTCCTATTTTGACAATTAAGAACTTAATTACTCCCATTTAGGTAATAAATCTCCCCTGAGAATACTCATCTAAAATGGAGCTCAAGAATGACTTTTAATACGGAGTATGTAATAGTAAATTTACCTCACTTTTATTGGTTATTCAGTACACAAAATAATTTAGAAGTCCATTTAATAACATTAAATCGATTGAATCGGGTGCAAGTGATGAAATTTTACATAAATTTGTTAGATTGAGGAAAAGTTAAATTTGCAGTATATTATACTACATATTAATAAAATATAGAAAAAGTCATATTAAAAATAACTAAAATAACCTTTTTCAATAAATTCATCTATTTCGGTCAAAAAAGTAAATACGGAGTATCTTTTTAATTGGATTGTAGATTTGTGACCAGGTGAAGGGTGAACATCACTCTCCTTTTAGGGTGAGCGAAATTACTTTCTCGAAATACTAGACAAGAATAATCCAATTATTAGTGATCTGCTTGAAATAATCCAAAGTATCAATTATCTCAAAATAATCTTCTCAAAATACTCCGATGACTTATAATTACCTGCAAATAACTTACTCCCTCCGGTTTCAAAAGAACTTCACGGTTTTTAAGAAAGTGAAATTTTTTGTTTTGACTTTCCTATTATGCCGCCAATAAAGTAGATAAAATATAGTGGGAGAGAGAAAGTGAATGTGAAGTTTATTTTGGATCCACCCAAAAAGGAAAGTGTGAAGTTGTTTTGGGATCGGATAATGTATAAATTTTTGAGCAAGTGGAATATTTTGAGAAGATTTTTCAATAGTTGGGATTATTTTGATTTAACCGATACTTTGGATTATTTCAATCAAATCATTAATAGTTGAGATTAATTTTGTCCATTTTTCCTATTTTCTATTATTTCCAGAAAAACTCTACTTTATAATTTAGATCTCATACCGGTGGGCGTGGTTCAACTGGTAGATAGGGGTGCCACAAGGGTTAAGTTTCGAGTTCGAATTCCGGCAACTGCGATGAGAGGTTACTATGCTGAAATGCATAGAGTCTCTGCAAGTATCAGGACAAAAGTTCCACTCTCTATCTACCAGCTTGTGATTAAAGCTCAATTTACATCATCCCATCTAACTGTCCGATCGGTGTTGCGAGCACATTGATGATGTCATCCTTTTTTATATATTTCTACGTATAATTTAGATCTCATAAAAGTTAAAGTAAATGCAACCATACAGCAACAACTTATTCTATGGTCAATTACTAATCCCACAGACCTGCAGATCATAGTCCCACCATGGACTAACGGTCATATTTTTTCAAAACTGTTGAAAAGTTTTAAAAAGCTACTTCCCTTTCTATACACAAAAAAGACTTGTTTGGTTTTGGGTCATACCTATCTTTCATTTTCCATCTCCATCAAAGACTAGCCGTAATTATCATTTTCTAAAACACCATTCCGCTGCTTTTGACTCAGTTCACTTTAAGTCCCTCCAAACATGGGTTGCTTTGCTTCTTGTTGCCCTACCTTAAAGCACAAGAAGTTCATGAAGTCTCTTAATAATAACTCTCTCTCTCCTCCCTCCAAACACCAGGTAAGCTTCTAATGGATTTAACTTCATTTTTATTCCTTACTTTTTTCATCTTTAAATCTTAATGCCCCCCCCCTTCAATCTTTCATCAGTGTCTTCAAAGTCTGCTGCAAATCCCTCATGAAAGTGAATTTATTATTGGTAAAGCAAAGCCATCTCACATCGAGGATACTGCCCTACCCATTGCTGATTCAAAGTAAGAATTTCTTTTTTTCTTTAAAAATCGAGTCTTGGTTTACTTTCTTGAAGTTTTATTATGATTCCTGCCTGCAACTATCAGAGAGAAAGAGAAGGTGACATTTGATCTAGATATTAACCAAGAAGATGAGCAGAAAGATGGGCAAAGTAAGACAGAGATTAGTACTGATTCAAGCTTGTTTTCATTCCCACTGGATAATCATAACTGCAAAAGTGGTGATGATGAGAATCAAGAAGAATCATCTGAGTCACTCTTCTCTCTGTCAATAGACTCCATCCGGAGGAATCTCTCTAGATCTGAGAGGGATGAAGTTAACAGTCCCTTGAAGCCAAATCGCAGAGACAGTAGCCCATTTGTTAAGTCTGTCTTGAACCCAATCCAATGTATTGTTAAACCAGGAGCAGCTAAGGAGAAGAAACCATCATCACCACTAATGGAGCTTCAAGAAAAGGAGAACCAGAATGTTGAACCTAGCCTTTCTGGCTGGTTGGTAGAAAAGGGAAAAAAGACCCTAAACTCTGAAGACAGTCCAGATTCTGTTGGGAACTTATCCCAAGAGTTGAGAAGAACAAAGTCTAAAAAGGAATCTGGGAGGAGGCCAATTTTGGGAGAATTGAACCTTGAAGACATCCAAGCTTGAACAATATATAAATACTCCGTATTCAAATTTAAGTTCAAGAAACTATAGCTGCTGGAGATGTAGTCTTTGGTTCGTGTATCTAATCCCAATGTAAAGATAATAATCTCCTCGAATCTCCATGATCAATTGTTCTGTATGAGTATAAGGGTGGCTAGGAAAACAAAGAATTGAGGTAAAATTGAGCAAATCAGGAGTGAACTTGTCACTTTGTCAGGAAATAAAATTTGAGGCAAAATGTAACTACTCAATGAATAGATGATTTATATATTTGTATGCAACTTGTAGAATTGAAGATTGAGTTTGGTTACCCAATTGGGTTAGTAACACATCCAACCCAATTAAGTCTACAACCCTTTTTAAACTACAGTGTATTTGCTTTTTTACTTCTTACTATGACTCTTTATTTATGGGTGTGAGACTCTCCTACTGCACATGAAAGATCGGATAAAGTTACTTATATCACATACGAAGTACTAAGTACATAATATCTATTTAACTATTTCTACGAGGACCACAAAGTTTTTTGAACCGTTAAATAAAGAAAGTTAACAAAATTTTGGGAGATGATATTATATAGTGTTGCAATTTGGAAAATTAACTAACTAGGATGGCCCATATATGTCAATTGCAATTGTACGTACTATTTACTCATATGGCAACAAGAAAATTAATGAGTAAAAATACTTATTATACGAAGCCATGCATATTACGTAGTATTTCCAAATTAATCTAAACATGCACTAATTAATTAATACCCTAAAATGAATTTACTGAAAAACATGAAACTAAAGCAACTTTCACAGGAATCTAGATGACTAGATCATCAAGATTCGGAAGTCATTAATTGGCACTAATCAGCTGATCCGATCTATCTCTACTAATTAATTAATCAATAATCCAACATATGGTTGCAGGCTTTCTTCATCTCAGCCAGAACCTTATCAATCTTCTTCACGTCGGTGGCAGTGGTTGCATTGAAGTATGGATGCTCCTCCAGCAATTGTTTTGCAGTTGGCCTCTTCGCCGGATCTTCTCTAAGGCACTGTTTGGCTACATCTCCAAGCGCCGAATCCATCAATATCTTACTCCTCCTCTTCTTGATCGCCATCTCATCATTCTTTTCCCGGCCAAACAACGACAACTTCCTTAACACCGACGATGAAGCGGATTTCTTGCCGCGGCGGCCAACATAAAAGTTGTTCGCCAACAGCGACTCAAGTCCGGCGTAGGTGGAGACCGGAATCTCCTCGCAGCCATAAACAAGCTCTAGGATGAAAAACCCGAAGTCCCAAATGTCCGTCGCCTGCCCGTACACCATCTTCGGGTCCCTCGCCAACTCCGGCGCCACCCTGCACGGCGCGGGAACCTTGGTATCCGTCTCGCACATCAACTCGGGGAACCCTAGTTTCACCGTCGTGCACTCCGCGTCCATGTACACGTTCCCGGCGCAGACGTTGCCGTGCGCGTGACCCCCGCTGGCGGCGTGAATGCAGTTGAGGCGCTCTAGAGTTTGGCGGAGGAGAAAAGCCACCACCTCCGCGTTCGGCAACCCGTTCCGGAAAGAATGGGTCGTAGCCATCATGGACCGCAGCGAAACCCTAGACACGGCGGGCATGACGATCCAGAGGTGGTTGCGGTTCTTGGAAGGCTTGAAGGAGGTGTGGACTCTGACGAGGTTCTTGTGGTCCCCACACTGCTTGGCCAGCTTGTAGGCTCCGACCGTCTCGAAAACGCAGTCAAGCTTGAAGGTGTTGACGATCATGATCCTACGCCGCGCCGCTTAGGGTATGAATGTCTGAGTTAGGGTATGAATTTAGGGTATGAATGTAAGAGTTAGGGTATGAATTTACTGGAAACGGGGTTACGGGAATTCCATGCATCCATTCCCAAAATACGAATGTCAGAGTTAGGATGCAAGGACGGATTTGCGGGAATTCCATGCATCCATTCCCAAAATACGAATGTCAGAGTTAGGGTATGAATTTACGGGAAACGGGGTTGGTTAATCCGACTTTTGTAGGGTTTTTTGTAGGTTTTGTGGGGTTTTCCAATTTGGATGGAAATGTCGGATCATAATTGTCAGAAGGAGAAGTCTGATTCCTTTAATCCGAAAAGGAAAGTCCAATTTGAAAAAAAATAAAGTCGGATTCCTTTAATCCGAAAAGAAAAGTCCTGGTGCATGTGTCAGAGACTAACCATTATCATGCATGCCAGCATGAAAAAAAATAAAGTCAGATGTATGTAATGTGAATTTTCGATGAACAGCTCCATCCCATCAGCTCCACGAAACAACTCTCTGATTGGCCAAATGAATACCACACGGATCATGCTTTCCTCTTCTTATTTTCAACCCTTAGATCATATTAAAATTATCTCAACCCTACAATTTATTTTGTGTGGTGGTTCACTATCCAACCACAATTCTTACCTCTTTAAATACCTCCAACATCATATTCAACACACTACAAAAAAACAAATTCAATTAGATAAAATTATATAGTGTTGTTGCTGATTTGAATTCGTTGTGTCCTTTAAAGAGGTTAGAAATATAATTAAATTTTTATTCTTTTTGTGATTACATGTGTACTTATATTTTTTTAGGTCACTCAATATTTAGAAATTTTTTAATATTAATATGCAACTGATCTTAATTGTCATTAAGATAGTTGATATAGTCATACTAAATAAATATTAATAAAAATAACTGGTTCACTAATATTTGTTATAATGTATTAAATAATAAATCAGTGTATATAGTAATTTGAGACTACGTCTAGAACTATACTGGTAAAATTTTCACAAGCTCGTCTAGAGCTAGTCCTTTTCTAGTTTCTGGCAAATGTTATGTCTAGAACTAGTCCTTTTCTAGTTTCTGGCACAGTGAAAATATTACTTAGTGACAAGTCTAAAATTTGTATCAGTACATATATTATAATTGCACTATACTGGTACAATTTTCACAAGCTCCTCAAGAACTAGTCCTTTTCTAGTTTCTGGCACAATGAAAATATTACTCAGTGACATGTCTAAAATTTGTATCAGTACATATATTATAATTGCACTATACTAGTACAATTTTCACAAGCTCGTCTAGAACTAGTCCTTTTCTAGTTTCTGGCAATTGTTATGTTTAGAACTAGTCCTTTTCTAGTTTCTGGCACAGTGAAAATATTACTCAGTGGCAAGTCTAAAATTTGTATGAGTACATATATTATAATTGCACTATACTGGTACAATTTTCACAAGCTCGTCTAGAACTAGTCCTTTTCTAGTTTCTGGCAAATGTTATGTCTAGAACTAGTCCTTTTCTAGTTTCTGGCACAGTGAAACTATTATTCAGTGACAAGTCTAAAATTTGTATCGGTACATATATTATAATAGGACTATACTGGTACAATTTTCACAAGCTCATCTAGAACTAGTCATTTTCTAGTTTCTGGCACGGTGATAATATTGGTGATATCAACTATACATATATTCTAATGCAATACATAAGGCTGATATAGTTTCATTGAAAATTTGTATGTAATTTATAATTTCATTTAATAAAATACGTCATTATAATATACATACACATATATATAGCACTAATGTTGGAGATATTTAATTGTGAATCAAGTTTGTCATAGATTAGCTTTATATTTAATCCTTGTATTTAATTAGTGCATGAATTAGATAGCAATCGGGCCAAGTGTTAGGCCCATATAAACAGGCTAAAAGCCTTGTACGCCTAACCTAAACCTCGCCTATAAAAAGGGAGCCGAGGGTTTAGGAATAGGTTAACGTCGTACTTATTCTTCATAGCCTTACGCGCATACTTTTGTGTTGTACGAGTTCACGGTCTATCAAAGAGGGTTTTACGTTGATTCATTCTGTGTTCATCCTTACGTTTAATCTTCGTTGTTAGATCGTTATTCATTGCTGTTACAGAAACAGGGACTAACAACTAATATATGATTCTTATTGTTAGTTGAGATACGAATGGCTGCACAAATACCACTTATGGATCCGGTTGATCGGTCGGTGCTCGTGATGCCACGTTACGCGCATCGCGCAGACCTTGTCTGGAATCGTGCTACATCCATAGATGACAAATTGAGGTGTAATGTATATTGTTCAATGGTGTACAAAGACGGCCCGCGTCACCCAGGAGTGGTAGCGTTGCTGAAGGCCTCCGGATCTTATGGCGTCGACTGCATCGGAAGGTTGCAGTTAGACTGGTCGCTTATTACGGCGTTGGTTGAGAGATGGAGACCAGAGACACATGATTTTCATTTGCCTTTTGGTGAGGTGGGTATCACCTTACAGGACGTAGAAGTGTTGTTGGGGTTGCCCATCGACGGAGAACCACTGTCCGGACCTAGGATAAATTCGAAGGCATTTTGGATGCAAATGTGCACGGACTCTATCGGTTTCACGCCAAACAACAATGACTTAAACACATCTGTAATAAGAATGAATGCGATACAACGTTGGCCGGTACATCAGCACAACACAAATGAGGAACTCATCACATGCATGAGGGTGCTCATTTGGCAACTACTAGGTGGGTTATTGTTCCCCTCCACTACCGGGAACAAAATAAAATTGTACTTTTTAGAGTTGTTGCAGGGACCACTCGATGAAGCGCGACGGTGGAGTTGGGGCTCCGCAGTATTGGGATTCCTGTATCACAACATGTGCAAGGCCGCCAAAGCCAACAGGAAAAATATTGGGGGGGGTGCTTGGTTCTATTACAGATTTGGGCGTGGGAGAGATTGCCCATGGTGCGACCGCGAAATGTTTTTCCATTTCAGAATCTTGAGGATATGCCATATGGCTGCAGGTATAATTTGAAATTTTACATATTAAATATAAGTATATTAAATATATTTGTAGATCACGGTATAATAACTTATTTTTATAAAGGTGGGCGTGTTGGCACAATTGGGAACAAAGTTCTCGGTATACTCTGCGTCTTTATCGGGATCAGTTGGACGGGATCCGAGAGAACAAGGTTATAATTAACAAATATCATTTTATTTTGATACATATTAATATGTATTTAAATTAACTTCAAATAATATTGATCCAGTTCGTGTGACTCCCATACACATTACAAGACCTCCCTTGGTTCTGCGTCGCAGGAATACAATTGTGGACATCTAATGTGATGCTTATATATTGTGACATTTCTGAGATGTACTACCCTGGTAGATTTTGTCGTCAATTGGGTGCAATGCAACATCGTCCTCTCGCAGCGGAATCACAAGCTAGCCACCATGCAAGTGGTGCAAAAAATTCTGAATGGCCATTGACACTATGGGTTGAAAGGCACAACCGTCGTATCGCAATTGAGTTCGTTGCTGATCCCACCTACACTCCTGCGTACCGTAAATGGTACGCAGATGTCGGGAAACGACGGATTTGCAATCCGTTACATGGTCGACCTACAACGGGTTATGTACCTACTAATAGGGAGACGAGTACATTGGTAAGTATTTTATGTGTAATTATTCAACTTAGAAATGTTTATTTTTATTTAATAACTTTACTTTTGAATTTTAGATGCAATGTATGGGCGATATCTATCGGCGCATGGCAGCTCCATTTGACGTCGAAGACATCCGCGAGCTAATTGCACGATGCCTTACAGGATTAGGTGCCGAAAACGTCCTTCATCAAGACATCATTTTGTATGGGGATGCCCATGATGATGTAATGGATGATCATCCCCCACTTCGGCAGGACCTTAGAAGAGTCGCTCCCACTCGAGGTCGGCGTTACGGACGCGGTTATGTTGCTCCACACATCGACAATGATGATGGTGACGACAATAATCATGATGATGATAATGATGATGCATGGTGATGATGATGATGAGGAGGAGGAGGATGACGAAGATGGTGGTGAAGAAGAAGAACAACCATCTTCTTATATTCATTCATTCACGCAACCCTGCCCCACCTCATGTACCCTATCAGTACTCTACACCGACTAGTGCATACATTCCGACTTTTGATGCTCCATCGTCTATTCCACATGTACAACCTACATATGAGACGCGTCCCACCTTTTTAAATTCACCGATTGATTGGTTGAACAACTTATTAGGATCAGATGTACAGAGTGGGATGGGGCACGAAGCAGGGCCAAGCACACAACCGCCGATTGAACATAGGCCGAGACGGGATATACATTCTCGGAAAATTACCAAAGTACAAAAATCGTGTGTATGTGGCATCAAGACTGTGGCCCATCCATGATGATGATACTTGGAAGCACTTTTTCCGACTTGCTGAAAGAGAGTATGGAGAATTACATATTTTCCTGGATGCACGAAGAACCTCTATAGTCCAACCACAAATATCAACATATGGAGGAGGTGACACCCACATTTGTGAAACTTTTCACAATATCCACTCCAACGATGACGGACCATCAACGAGATACGACGGACGCTACAACCCGCATACTGTTGAACATGAAGATGGCCCTTCAACATCATATGACGAGGAAGATGATCCGGATTATGAACAATTTTCTGGAAATGACGATGCAACAACAAATTCTGACGATAGTGATGACGCTCATGACATGACATGGGCCAATATTGAGCTGGAACAACCATATGTTGAACCAGCAAATCGTGATAATGAAACTATTGCGGTCGCCAAAATATACGATTCATACGACTTGCTGAAAGAAGTCGTAACAATAGAAAATATTCGGCAATCTCGAATTTTTAAGACAGAAGACAAACGTGTGAGATCGTGGAAGGCAGTTTGCATCTATGATGACATGTGTATGTGGCACATTCAGGCGGGAAACCTTCTCAACACCAATTTGTGGAAGGTCAAAAAATATCAACCACTACACAACTGCAGAGTGGATTATAAAAGAGCCCGTAATGACAGGCTGATGACGAGCAAGATCATAGCGAGTGTAATCGCTACAAAAGTGCATGTTGATCCGGACTACAACATTAAACTCGTCGTGCAAGACATATACGACAAATTCAGAATCAATGTCAAGTACAAAAAGGCGTGGTAAGGACGTTTGATTGCCCTTGAATGAAGATTCGGCAACTGGGAGGCGGCCTACAATGATTTACCCAATTTGTTGCTTGCGATAAGAGAATCAAATCCGGGGTCAGTGGTAGATTTCCAACCAAAACCAACCAGTCATGATGGTACGTATGAATTTCACCATGCGTTTTGGGCTTTTAAAGCTTCCATTGATGGGTTTGAACACTGTCTGCCCGTAGTATCTGTTGATGGTACTCACTTGTACGGAAAGTTCAAGGTCCATCTCCTGGTTGCAGTCGCCATGAATGCTAACCGTGAGATTTTCCCTCTCGCGTACGCAGTTGTGGAAAGTGAAAACACAAGTAGTTGGTCCTGGTTTTTGGAACACATTATGACTTATGTTATCAGACCAAATCGGCATGTGTGCATAATATCATATCGGCACCCTGGCATCCTAAGTGCCTATCAATCAGTACCTCAATTGAAAACCTCCCAAGTTTCGAAGCGGTTCGACCTCCAACACATTAGAAGCAATTTCATGAAAAAATTCAGGAGCACTGAACTGAAAAAGATCTGTTGGCAGGACGGGAGTACACCCATGGTGAGTGAATTTTACCAAACAATGGCTCAAATTCATGCTACGAATGAGAATGCGTTCACGTATTTGAACGCTATTCCCCGTGAAAATTGGGCACTGTGCTTCGACGATGGATGACGTTACGGCATCCTCACAACAAATCTTTCCGAGAGCTTCAATAACGTTCTAACGGGATGTCGAACACTTCCAATCACCGCACTGGTTAAGGCAACTTATAACAAAGTTGTCCAACTATTTGCCGATCGACGTAGGGCCGGTCAGATGTGGCGGCAAGCTGGGTTCCTATATCCGCAAAATATATGGAAAGATATTCTTGAACGTTCGCAGAAAAGACATCAGTGCACTATTGTCCCGCATAACCGAACAACGGGAGTATACTCTGTTTCCATCCGTGATTATCCACCGGTAACGGTAAATCTCTCACGTTGCGAATGTGATTGCGGTTTTTGGAAGCAAAATGGATTTCCATGTGTGCACGCCTATGCAACATGCCATTTCTTAGAAATTACTGTAGATCATCTCATCCCGGACGTGTATAAATTAGGTGCGTACATCCGTACGTATGCTACAGATATTATGCCTATGCATGACGTAAGTGCGATGCCTGATACCGGATATGTAGTGATACCGCCTCAAAGTGCTCGACGCAGTCAAACCGGTAGGTCTCAAAGGACACGATTTACAAATGAAATGGATATGCGTCCGAGTAGGAGAGCAGAAGAGTAAAAATTTATATGTATTTTGTAACTCTTTTTCAATGAATAAAAATTTGTATTTCTTTGTCATGTTGTTGTTCAAGAAGAAATGAGTAATGAAATATTTATATTATTTATTTTGCGGGAACATTGAATAAATTCGTGATACAATATAATTAAATATGTATATTCACTATTACAATCTCTAACATAACAATTGATTATTTCTTAATTAATAAAATAATACATGTCTGTCCAACTATAAATATCACTAAATTTATTTACTTTTGTACATATTATGCTTCATATGCTCTATTATTTATCCCACTCACAATTTTTTATTGAATTATTTGTGTTTTTCTCTTTGGAAAAAAATGTAACTAAACAATCTAAAAAACCTAAGACTACCACACAAATGTAAAAAAAATGAAATGACGCATCCCACTCCCGTAAACTGAATTTCGTTTGTGATAGTTTGTGGTAGGCTTAAGACTACCCAATTGTACCTATGTTTAAAAAAAACTTGCATGTCGGATTCATGGAATCCGTTTTCTAACATTACCTAAGACTCCCACCCAAAACCTAGATAAGTCGGATTTCACGAACACGTTTCTCGTTTTCTTAGAAAACCTAAACAAAATCCCGCATTTTGGCAACAGATGCATCCCACTCCCGTAAAAAAAGAAATCCCCCTTTTTTCATGACGGCGTTACGCGGGAATCTTACAATAGACCTGTACAAAAACGGGCTCGGGCCGGACTTTTATAAATTTTTTGCCCATCATGTGTGGGCGGGCCCGACCCGGCCTGCAAAAACGGGCCTAACCCTATGTCCATACCCGCCCATAAGAGCGGGCCGGGTAGTCCATCGGGCCGCCCGGCCCGAGAAAACTTTAATTTTTTCAAAATTATATGATTTTTAAATACTTTAAAAATAATATTAGACTGAAATTAATTCCTAATTTTACCGTACATGCTTCTTAAGATGTTTTCTTTTAGACTGAAATTAATTTGCTGGTCTAATCTGATCTGGTTCGGTCTGGTAAATGTCTGATCTCTGTGTATTTTATAACTACGGAAGCCTAGTCTGATCTGGTCAGCTGATTTGATCTGGTCTGGATTGAAAACAGTCCAAAAGAAAACATTCTTAGACAATCCTTTATACTTATCAAATTAATAAAAATAATGATCTAAGACCTTTCACTTACAAATGTCATACATCATTTTACTTCTATAACTCTCTTTTGATCTCCGTTCTCTTTCCATTTCTTTGCTCTTCATTCCATCCTGATATGCACTAATTAGTAATCCACAAATGCATGTTTTTATATTTATTTTGTGTGGACCGTTTACCAATTTTTGGATAGTTTGTAAGCATTTGTTTAAATTTATTTGTAATTGTTATAGATTTCATTTTGTAAGATGTTGAGTAGTGGTATAGTTGTTGGTATTGGAAAAGAGGAAAAACAGGTGAAATGTTGCCCAGGAGTTGATACCCGGCCGGGTAAGCTACTCCACCCGGTCGGGTAAGAAGTGAAATCCAGACCTGCTAAGAAATTGCTCCACCCGGTCGGGCAAGCTACCTCAATCATACAAGCTCCCGATTGGTCTCTTCCTTTTGAGATCATGTGTGACGCAAGTGAGTATGCGGTGGGGGCTGTTCTAGGCTAAAAGATTAGGAGAGCTGCTCATGTTATCTACTATGCCTCCTCAACTCTCAATGAAGCACAAAAGAACTACTCTACCACCGAGAAAGAAATGCTAGCGGTGGTCTTTGCTTTGGAGAAATTTTGTTCCTATCTTTTTGGAACGAAAGTGATTGTGTACACCGACCATGCCGCTCTCCGATTCCTAATGACAAAGAAGGCGGCCAAGCCAAGACTCATTCGATGGGTCCTTCTATTGAGTGAGTTTGACATAGAAATCAAAGACAAGAAAGGAGCGGAGAATTTGGTGGCCGATCATCTAAGCCGCCTAATCCCCAACAAAAACATCGAAGGCCTCCATACAAATCTCATAAAAGGCGAATTCCCAGATGAATCTCTCTTCTCCATCAAAGTCATGCAACTATGGTACACAAATATCGTGAATTTTCTTGTTTCCATCAAATTTCCTCCACAACTCTCAAAATCACAAAAAGAAAAATTGAGAATGGATTCAACACTCTATGTTTGGGATGACCCATAATTGTGGAAGCATTGTAAGGATAAAATAATCCGAAGATGCATCCCCGAATATGAGATAGCCTACATCATAGAGTTTTGTCATTCTTATGCTTGTGGAGGACATTTCGGCCCGAAACGGACGATGATGAAGATACTTGAAAGTGGTTTTTGGTGGCCGAGTCTTTTCCGTGATGCAAATGGATTTTGTCGATCTTGTGACAATTGCCAAAGAGCGGGGAACATTTCAAGAAGAAACGAGATGCCACAAAACCCCATGCTTTTCTGTGAGATTTTCGATGCATGGGGGATTGACTTCATGGGACTCTTCCCAAACTCTCAAGGTAATATCTACATCTTCCTTGCGGTGGATTATGTCTCTAAATGGGTGGAAGCTAAAGCCACAAAAACTGATGACGCCAAGGTGGTTGCTACTTTTCTTAAGTCACACATATTTTCTAGGTTCGGAGTCCCCCGAATTTTGATAAGCGATAGAGGTACACATTTTTTTAATAAAATTGTGGGAACCCTACTAAAAAAATATGGGTTGACTCACAAAATCTCTACAACCTACCACCCTCAAACAAATGGCCAAGGGAAGACCTCAAACCGGGAGTTGAAGTCCATACTTCAGAAAACAGTGAACCCGAACCAAAAAGACCGGAGCATATGCATTGATGATGCGTTATGGACATACCAAACTGCCTACAAAACTCCCATTAGCATGTCCCCATATAGACTTGTGTTCGGCAAAGCTTGTCATCTTCTCGTAGAGCTTGAACACAAGTCATATAGGGCGGTGAAAGAATTCAACCTCAATCTTGACGAGGCCGGTATGCATAGGAAACTCCAATTGCAAGAGTTGGAAGAACTCCGCCTTGATTCAAGACAATGCGGAGATCTACGAAAGAAAAACGAAGGAGTGGCATGATAAAATGATTATAAGGAAGGACTTCAAAATTGATGACAAAGTCCTCTTATTTCAATCACGCCTTCATTTATTTCCGGGGAAAGCTACGATCCCGGTGGACTGGACCATACAAAGTGGTCAAAACATATCCACACGGGGCGGTGGAAATTCAAGACCTGGAGACGAGAGATGTGCTCAAAGTGAACGTGCAAAGATTAAAACCCTTATTTGAGGGTTTTCAAGCACAAAATATGAATGTCATAGACCTATCTGA